AAATTTTCACTGGCTGCAAGGCCCCTTCCCCGCAGCTGCGCTAGTCGTAACAGCAAAGAACAACCTTCAAAATCATAGCCAGAGGCCAGTACTGAGGGGAGGCAGAGGATGATGTAGTATCAGAGGCAATGGTGCAACTGGCATTGATGAAATGATGCTGGGAGAGCAGAGGGAAGGGGCTTGCGTCGGCCAGGGCTCTGCGGAAAGATAGAAGCAATATGATATATGTAATATTAACATATATAATATTACATATGACATAGTACACACATAATGTACATGACACTATTATATGATAGGTAGATGATAGATGATAGATAGATAGATAGATAGATACATAAATGATAGAGGAAGAGAGAGAGAAAAAGAGAGAGAATATGACATTTATGTCAAGGCTTATTGGCTTATGCAATCCTGAGACCTGGCAAGTGTGAAACCCACAGGGCAGGCTCCAAATTCAAGTAAGAGCTACTGCTGCAGTCTTGCACCTGAATTCTGCAGACAGGCAGGTGGAAGGTCCATCAGGGTTTCTGGGTTTCAGTCTTAGGAAACATTCCCGTCTCCAGGAAACCCGTTTTTGCCCTTAAGGCCTTCGACTGATTGGATGCAGCCCACTCACACCTCAGAGGGTAATCTGCTGGGCTCAAAGTCTACTGACTTGAATGTTTACTCATGTCTAAAAAAATACCTTCCCAGCAACACCTAGACTGGCATTTGACCCAATAACAGGGCACCCAAGCCTAGCCAGGTGACACAGAAATTAATCATCACCAAACGTTTACATTGTTTTAATACAGACAATATAAAGCCTTGGCAGTTTCTGAGTCAGAATAAGTTTGTGGTCTTTTCTTGAGGTGGGAGATCTGAAACTAGTCACAGCTGACCGTAAAGAACATGGAGGGGCGCTTGGATGGCTGGGTCGGTTAATCCGACTTCAGCTCAGGTCATGATCTCATAGTTCATGAGTTCAAGCCCCAGGTTGGGCTCTGTGCTGACAGCTTGGAGCCTGGAGCCTGCTTCGGATTCTGTGTGTCCCTCTCCCTCTGTGCCTCCCCACCTCGTGCTCTGTCTCTCAAAAATAAATGAACATTAAGAAAAATTATATATATAAAGAAAAGAACATGGAGAGCTGGTTTCCGGACCCGTGGAGGAAGAAATGGCATCTGCAAACTGAGAGGAAGCTTCACTTGGTCTCATTGGACAATAAACAAATGCACTGGCGCTTCCTCTCATTAGTCCAAATCTTCATAAATAAATCCCTATGCCTGTCATGGGCACAGTGAATTTTGTAATGTATTTTTTTAAAATGTTTTTTTATTTATTTCTGAGAGAGACAGCATGAGCAGGGGAGGGTCAGAGAGAGAGGGAGATACAGAATCTGAAGCAGCCTCCAGGCTCTGAGCTGTTAGCACAGAGCATGACGCGGGGCTCGAACCCATGAACCGTGAGATCATGACCTGAGCCGAAGTCGGACATTTAACCGACTGAGACACCCAAGCTCCCTGTAATGTATTTTTCACAAAAAATTTTAATGTTTATTTATTTTTGAGAGAGAGAGAGAGAGAGAACATGAACGGGGGGAGCAGAGAGAGAGGGAGACATAGAATCCAAAGCAGGCTCCAGGCCCTGAGCTGTCAGCACAGAGCCCGACACGGGGCTTGAACTCACAAACTGTGAGATCATGACCTGAGCCAAGGCTGGACGCTCAACCTACCGCACCACCCAGGCGCCCCTGTAATATACTTTTTAATCATATTGTTTCTATAGACAGAGGGCCCTTGAGAAATATTTGCCCGGGGCCCCACACCTCCTAGAAGTAGCTCTGTCTTGAAGGCTAAGCTGGGCATTTAATGGGGCAGAGCAGGCAGGGCGCAGGCCCAAGGCCTGGGGCTATAGTTCGAGCCTATAGCTCTTATAGTTACCAACTAATAAGAACGCATCTGCCTTTCTGAGTGGACCAGACACTGTGCTGAGTGCTTGCCAAGTACTCCTCACAGCACCCATGTGACAGAGGAGAAACCCAGAGCAAAGCTGAGGAAACCGAGGCTCAGAGAGGTTCAGTGAGTTTCTTCCAGCCCAGGGAACTCTCACTCTGTCCAGGTTTTTAATGACTGTGTGGTACTGACTCCTCGTATTGTCTTCATCGTTGCCTCAGGGCCCAGCACAATCCCTGGGACGCTGTAAGAATTCATTCAACAACTTTTGTGGGAATGAACTTGACGAATGAAGGAGTCTGTAGTATTTAGTAGACGGCAATGGAGGGGGTGTGAAGCAGGCCTAGTGAATCAGGGAGGCAAGTGTCTGCCACCATACAGCCTCTGGGGTTCAGCACAGGAGTAAACTGGTTTTAGTAAATCTCAGTCTGGTGCTGTGTAAGTAACTCATTATGCAACTCAGGGCATGTGCCGCTCTCGAGGGGCTCAGTCCCTTGCTGCAAGTTGGAGCTTTGGTTTAGATCAGGAGTCACCAAACATTTTCTGTGAAGGACCAGAGAGTGAACGTTTTAGGCTTTGGAGTAGGTTTAGGTTTCTGCTGTAACTACTCAACTCTGCCATTGGAAGTGGCGAAGTACCCATAGAAAGGTAAAAACATGTGAATGTGTGGCTGTTTCCAATAAAGCTTTATTTAGAAAAACAGGCGGCTGTCTGGAATTGGCTCTGGCGGCTGTGGTTGGCTGACCCCCTGGTCTAGATGACCCCTGAAATGCTCTTTTAATCGTCACGGTTTATGATTTAAAGACTTAGAACCAATGGTATGCAGGACAGAGATGATCACACAATGTCAATATCCTCCTACGGCGCCCATGGCAGGCACTGCTGATTGATCACAGCACTCCTTCCTGACGGGAAAGGAGTTGGCTTTTATCATCAATCACAGATGAGGAATTCCAGCTGGAGCATTCTCCCTTTCACTCTTTTTTTTTTTTTTTTAATGTTTTATTTATTTCTAGGAGAGAGAGAGACAGCGTGAGCAGGGGAGGGTCAGAGAAAGAGGAAGATATAGACTCTGAAACAGGCTCCAGGCTCTGAGCTGGCAGTCAGCACAGAGCCCGATGTGGGGCTCGAACCCACGAACCGCGAGATCATGACCTAAGCGAAAGTGGGACGGTTACCCGACTAAGCCACCCAGGCGCCCCTCCCTTTCACTCTTTAAGAAGCAAATATTCAGAAGACGCCGGACACTCTCGGGAGTGTGGCAGAAAGGGGGAAGCGTGGCAGCCTTTCCCACTCTCATCCCTGTGTGAGAGGAATCAGATTCTCCCCAGGTGGCGGAAGTGAGAGCCCAGTCCTCAACAGGAGCCACGCTATCTGAGCCGACAGGGCTATTCCCCGTGGGTGGAAGTCAGACCCCTGTTTCTCTCTTTCTTGTCCTACTGAGTGCTCAAGCTAGGAGTAAACACCTGGAGTTCCTACTTCCCCAGGGCATACTAATTTTCTTCCTTTTCTTTTTCCATCAGAACGTAAACCCTAGAGTGATTTCCGCCCAGACAGATCTGCCGGGAGGGTACTTTACAAATTAGTTTGTGTGGAACCATTGTTACATGATAACACACAACCCTTTCCTTTCTATTTGAATTTCCACAAACCTTCACGATGAGGAATGGATGGGGAAATCCAAAGCATCTACAAGCCACATGATATAAGAGCTTGGACTTTGCAGTCAGACAGGTTTGGGTTGAATTTTAGACAAGATGATCACTCTCTTGATAATTAGGAGCAATCTCTGTAGACTGAGTAACACATGGAGGAAGTTCACTATATGGCAGCCATATTTTTATAATCATGTGAGGTCTGTAGATTTTGGGGTAGAAAACATCTCTCTAGCCTCCCAAATTGTACACTGTAACTATATGCTGGTTCTGGTGGCCAGAGAGCTGTTTGGAGGACATTTCAATGTCTTTCAGTTGTAAGGAATACAGTTCATTGATTCTTTTCCAGGTTCTTCCACACCCTTCCTCTCACAGCTCTCTGAGGGGGGCTGGTTTGTTAGTATCACCCTATTACACAGTTGGGAAAACTGAACCCCAAAGAGATTTTCTGTGGGCAGAGCTTTTCTTTCTTTACCTTTTTCTTTGACAACTGCTTATTTTATTTTTTTTTTTAAAATGTTTATTTATTCACTTTGAGAGAGAGAGAGAGAGAGAGAGAGAACCCCAAGCAGGCTCCACACCCAGCATGGAGCCTGAGGTGGGGCTCAATTCCACAACTGCGAGATGATGACTTGAGCCAATATGAAGAGTCAGATGCTCTGCCAACTGAGCTGGCCAGACATCCCTGTTTCACAATCATTTAGTGAGCATTTCCCATGTATCAGGCATGGAACAGGCACTGGAGACAGAATGGTGTCAATATTTGGGGGAAATAAATATCTGTTGATTGACTGATACATCATCTGAACTTGTGAGAAGGAAATTGCATTGAGCAATCAGTAGAGAGTGTCACAATCCTCGAGAGTCCAGGGGGACCTTGCACAAGGTCTTCGTTGGGAGTTTACTCTCTATGGTTTCAGCTCCAGATCTTTTTTTAAGAGATTTTATTATTTTTTTAAAGTAATCTCTACCCCCACCATGGGGTTCGAACTCATAGCCGTGAGATCAAGAGTTGTAGGTTTTCCCGACTGAGCCAGCCAGGTGCCTCTCAGCTCCAGATCTAAATAGCTTCTTTGCAGCTGGCTCTTCTCACCCTCACCTCCCTCTCGCCAGGCCAATGGGCTTGGGGCCCAGGACACCTGAGGATGGCTATCTTATCAGCCTGAAGACAGCTTCCAGGCCAGCCTCTTGCATTTCTTCCCTGGTGGTTACTCCGTTCGCCTCGCAGTCTAGCCTGGGTCAGGAAAGAACCTGTTTCCGTGGTACCAGCATGGCTGGACTTCACCCAGCTTCTTGCGTGTGCAATTGCAACTGGGAGGGGCCAAGGAAATTCTGCTGGGGCCACACCCACTAGTGAAGATATAAAAATTGAGATTTGGTGTTGACGTTCAGAGCCACCCCTACCCTCACAATGCAGTGCAGCGGCCTCTTCCCCCTCGTGCTTCTTGCCCTGGGCAGCCTGGTACCTTGGACTGTGGAAGGCGCTGGAAATTGTGAGTTGGAGCCATCCTGACACAATCTCGGCTGCAGAGTGGTGGCTCCTGGGGCTGTGGGGATGTCTCCTTCTAGACACTTTGATCTTTCAGCTTAGTTTCAGGAGACCTCCTTGAGGGTGGGGGTTCACGTCCATCTGGGCTCCAAGAACTCTGTGGGCTTCTGAGCATTGGGCTGTGTTCTTTTTTTTCTTTTCTTTTCTTTTTTAATTTTTTAAAATGTTTATTTTTTTACTTTGGAGCGAGAGAGAGAGAGCACAAGTAGGGAGGGACAGAGAGAGAAGGAGACATAGAATCTGAAGCAGGCTCTAGGCTCTGAGCTGTCAGCACAGAGCCCAATGCGGGGCTTGAACCCATGAACTGCGAGATCATGACCTGAACCAAAGTTGGACGCTTAACCGACTGAGCCACCCAGGAGTCCCTGGGCTGTGTTCTTTTACCGGTATCTGGTCAGCCTAGACCCCACTGTCTTTCTTCTTCTCTCTCTCCTTACCCTGTCTGTGAATCTGTAGTCATCTGTTTCTGGCTCTCTCTGGTTCCTTGTCTCTCTGCTTCTGTCCTTTAGTCTTTATGTCTCTGCCTCTGGCTCTCCCTCTCAACCTGGGCCGAGTTCTCTATTTACCTTTGTTTCTCTCCGTCTCCTTTGCCTTTATGGAGACTTGTTGTCCCCAGAGCAGGAAACATTGGCTGGGAGCCCTTTGTCCTTTTCCAGGATCTGTGACTTTTTCCTCCCGTGTGTGTGGCTTAATCAAGCCTGTCACCCTTCACGGAGGTCAGGCAGGCATTTCCCTCTGGACTTTGGGGACAGTCACTTGGGGGATGGTCCCTCATGGGGAGTGGTGCTTTATCCAGGAGTCATGATGGTTACTTAGCACCCAGGTCCTTCCTTAACTCTCGACATTCTCTCCAACAGCGTTGAAGGCTGGAACCTGCCCGGCTCTAAAACCTGGCCGATGCTTGGAGGCATTTGGGACCCCTGAGTGCCAGAGTGACTGGCAGTGTCCAGGGAGGCAGATATGTTGCTCTGATGTTTGCGGAATCAGATGTGTGAACCCCGTCAGCATCCCCAACCCAAGTGAGGAGGCGGGGAGGGGGGGCTCAAGGGAAAGGGGTGAGCCTGAGAATGCGGCACCTCGGGGACAGGCCTGGGTGTGGGTCCTGCCGGGTCTCCTCCTCCTCAGGAACTGTTGAGCCAAGTTTGTCAGCCGGTCAGGGAGTCACACTGCCCCAGATGGCAATTTACTCACAGGGCTGGTGAAGCAGCCAGTCTGTTGGGAGGTCAGTTTTTCGGTCTATAGTCACCCGGTCGTTCAGGTAAGCAGGCCGTTGGTAGCCACCCATCCAGTCCGCACTGGACAACCGGTCACCTCCATGGACAAGGGGCCCCAATGTGAGAGGAGATCCAGATCCTGCCGTCTGGGGGTACAGAGGCCCTGGGAAGAAAGAAGAGGTGCTGCAGATGGAGAAGAGAGCATTCTCCCTGTGCGCCTGGGCTGGGGCTGGGTCCAGGGGGTGGTGCCCGAGGCACAAAGCCTCTGACCTGTGGCTTCACTCTCACCAGTGGGGCTGAAGCCTGGCAGGTGTCCTCTGGTCAACGGCCAGTGTCTGATCCTCAATCCCCGCAACCACTGTGAGACAGACCGTCAGTGTGTGGGTGACTTCAAGTGCTGTAGGGGCCTGTGCGGGACGTCCTGCGTGGAACCTGAATAAGGTAAGGAGGGGCCCGGGGCCCACCTATTCCCTGCCACCAGTCCTTTCTGTCCCAAGCCTCTGGCAGCCCTGGCATGTGAGCAGGGGGATTCCTGATCCCTCCCCCAGGACAGCCTCTGCCTGGCCCCCTTGTCCTTCAAGGGCACCACTCCCCAGGCCCCAGGGCCAGGATTTCCATAGCATCACTCGCGGCTTTGCTTCTATTCCAGCCGCTCTGAGAGAGGGCCCCCTGCAAGTCAGAGTCTCAGTCTCCTTATCTGTGAAATGGATGTAATGAAAGTGCTTTGCCAAGCCCTGTGTGCGTGAAGAATTTATTATTAAGATGATCTCCAGCATATTGTCTAGGGTCAAAGCCCAAAGGATCAGTGGCTTTTGAGGCTAATATAGGCTAATGCTCTGAGTCTAGAGTTCTGTAATAAGAGTGAGACTTGAACTCAGTCTCCCGACCAAGACTCTTTCGACTATATCATCACTTTGCTATTTTCTTTGTCTCAGGGAAGTTTCTTGGTGGAAGATCAGGGAGGTAATTTGTCTGGTTCCTGTACTGAAGCCCTGATATGATTTTTCTCTCGTAGCCCGATTCCTGTCATTTGGAAGAGGCTCTGGATTCCTATCTGGGGCCTGGGACTTGGATCACTGGGACACCTCATGGTGAAGGCTTGGTTCTACCACCAACATCTCTTTGGGGGAAAGGCTTGGTGAATAAATTGGTGAATCAATAAACGAGCATATGTCATTGTCTCCATGCGCTTCTGTGGTTTGTTGGGGGGGCCGGCGAGGCGGGTTGGACGTGGTGAGGGAGTGTGTGGCTATGAGGCCTCCCTCAGGTACGTGCAGAGTGGAAGGGAGGGGCTTCAGGGCCCGACAGACATGAATGGAGATCATGAGTCTCAAAACACCAGTTCTGCGATTTTGGACACATGACTTTATCTTGTACCTCGTCATTTCTTCAGCTGCAAAGCAGTAAGTGCATTTGGAGCATTGGGGTCCACAATGTCCATGAAACGAATAGCAACGTTCTCAGGCCAGAGCAGCCTCAAAAAATATGGATACTTGCATTCTGAGATGATTTTGAGCTTCTTGTAATTTCCCTTCTCTCCCAAGGCACTATTTCTTCTATCTTAAAATAAGCACTGAGCAACAACACACACTGATTGTCAGCCCTGAGAGAGGATTCCAAACACTTCTGCCCATTGCATCTTGGTGTTGGAGTCTCCCACAAAAGCACAATGGGGTCAAGCACTGGGTTCTTTACTTAGAAAAGACACAGCAAGGTCGCCTTCCACCTTGGACCTCCACTTCCTTATCATGGCCTGCAAGTGTCTCCCAGGAGCTAGTGGTGCAGGGCAATTTACCGCCCTCCCACCTCCACCCCTCTCCTGACACAGAAAGATGCCCATTCCCTCCCCAGGGATGACAGACGGCAGTGGGGTTGGCCAGAGGCTCTGGTACACGCACGTTAACAGGACACAGGAGCCCACACTGAAGCTTGAAACAGGGAAAGATGCTCCCACGGAAGGTGAGAAGCTGTCACGGGCTTGTGAGCGCCTTATCTCTTGGTAAATAAGCATTCCAAGTCCAAAGCCATTCTTAGGCAGCTGAGCGGGGGGAGCATGCGAGAGGCTGCCTTTCCCCACGATGAGAGTATTAACATGGCGGCCCGTTACGACAGCTGCTGGCCAGCCCCACGTGGGGGTGACGTTGTTCTTGACCCCGTAGAGCAGAAAGAATAAGAGGAGCTGGACTTCCAGAACTCAGGGCAACTGTGTTCACTGTTTCTCTGGGCTCTTTGGACTCTAAAGGAAGCAGCGCACTTGGTTGGATAGTGACATAGAAGAAGGACAAAACACAATTATCATTCAGTCCTTTCCTGGAAAATGTCAGTGATCCAGAAAGAACATTCCACATACTACGTACAACCAATGTTCCCAAGAGCAGCAATTGAATGTATTAAATTATCTTTCAGGGAAGAAGGGAAAGAAGAAACATCATTTTATTTATATTGTGAGTGGGGTGGCAGCCCCCCCCAGTTGCCTCTTGGTAACCCTCACCTCTTAGGATTTGCACCCTTGTGTGGGCCCTTCCGTGTTTTTGCACGGTGGGTCCATGTGACAAATACGTTATTGCAGAGTGAGAGACTGTTATGTCCTGATGAGATGGGATGGGTAAAAGATGGCACCTTCCATCTGGGGAGCACGGGCCCTCTCTCTGATCACCTGCTCCGGCAGAACTCAGTTGCCAGGTCACGAAGACATTCAGCCATCTGTGGCCTGGCCCATCATGTAAGGAAATGACGAATCTGGCCAACAGCCTGGGGGGAACTGAGACTCACCAATGAACAGGTGAGGGAGCGTGCTCTTTGGACTAAGCTAAGTCTAGTCTTTTTTTTTTTTTTTTTTTTTTTTT